ACAAAGTCAAAAACTAACAATAGTGATAGTGTACGTGGATGATCTCATCATCACTGGAGACGACGCAAATCAGGCCCAACAAATCAGAAGGAATCTATTAGTAAGATTTCAAATGAAAGAGTTTGGAGAGCAAAATCATTTTCTTGGGCTGGAGATGGAAAGAACAAATGAAGGGTTATTCTTGTGCCAGAATAAATATGCCAGAGATCTCTTACAGAAGTTTGGCATGACCGATTGCAAACCAATATCGATACCAATCGAGATTAACTCCAAGCTATGTGCAGATGAAGGCAAATATTTGGATAATGCAACCATGTATCGACAGCTGGTGGGGAGCTTAATATATTTGACGTTGACACAACCTGACATCTCGTATGCAGTTGGGATAGCAAGTCGCTTTATGGAAAAGCTAAAGAAACCACACCTTGAAGTGGTCCGAAGGATCTTAAGGTATGTAAAAGGAACTATTGATTATGGACTCTTTTACAAGAAAAATAAAGATTGCAGGATCATTGGCTTTTGTGATGCGGACTATGCTGGATATCGAGATACAAGAAGATCAACAACTGGGTATGTATTCAGCCTGGGGTCAGCTGTAGTTTCATGGTGCAGTAAGAGACAACCAACAGTATCTTTGTCAACCGCAGAGGCAGAATATAGAGCAACAGCAATGGCAGCTCAAGAGAGTACGTGGCTAACACAATTAATGAAGGATTTACATCAACTAGTAAGCCATATGCAATTATATTGTGATAATCAATCAACTATTCGCATAGTAGAAAATCCAGTTTGCCACGCAAGAACGAAGCATCTTGAAGTGCAATATCACTTTGTCAGAGATAAGGTACTTAAAGGGGAGATCAACTTGAAACACATCAATACTGAAGAACAAGTCGCAGATATTTTAACGAAAGGACTCAGCATTTCAAAATTCGAAGAGTTTCGAATACAACTTGGGATTATAAGAAGAAAAAGTTAAAATGAAAAATTGGTGCTGAAGGGGAGAATTGAAGAATC